TGACACCCATCATGGCCCAAAGTCCCATCCAGGCCTCTAACAGGCTGCATTCCCCTCTCAAGAGGGGTTTACCAAAGATTCACAACATATCCCATCCGGGCTGGCTCGGACCCCAGGCCTGCACTCTCACCCTTGGAAATTGCCTGGGACTGTGATCTTGCGGTTCACCAATGCTTTCATGACCCGGCTGACCATCTCATAGAGCGATCCTGACATGTTCTTGGTAAGCCGCCCCTCAAAGCGCTTCTCCACCTCTTCCCTACAAACAGAACAAGATGAGATCATAAGCCCCTGCATTCTAATGGCACACCTGTCTCCTATCTGGAGAGTGGCGGAAAACGAGTCCAGGCAGATACTCACTCATTCATGTTGAGAGTCAAGGAGATGTCCTCGTCCTTGGAGAAGAGGAGAATCAGGAAGTGGTAACGGGTCTGGCCCTGCTTGATAGGGGGATCCAGGCTGATCTGGTAAGAAAGAGCAGACAAGGTTAAGCACCAGTTGATGTTCCACGAGGACTTGTAATTAACCAATCTAGAACTCTGAAAACGAGGATTATCCACCACCCCACATCCCACTCCCCCACCCCCCGTGGTTTCTGCTTACCACAAAGAACATCTGGCGCTGATCCTTGTGGGGCAGCAAAAAGAGACGCAGTACCGTGGTGTAGGGGATTTTGTAGTCAAAGGTCTTGCCATGTAGATGCAGAAAGGTGGGGTAGATCCGAATGTCGTAACGACCACGGGGAGTCAGACATTGCAGCTCCCGGAAGATGCAGATGGCATCTCCAGTAGCCTGGATTACATCCGCCTTTGACAGCACATTCTGGGCAAAGGCCTGCAAAAGCACACACTGGTAATCAGGCAGCAGGACCCTGCTCCCAGGCCAGCCAAGGCGTGCTCAGCAACACTTGCTCCCAAGGCGACCAGGGGAGGCCTCACCTCAACTGGGTCCACACCATCCTCCTGGGTGGGAGGGACGTAGAAGCGCACCTCCATGAGAGAGACCTCTGCGTCATCGTTCTGGTGGAATTCCAGTGTCACCTCATTTTTGCCTGTGGTGCACTGGGACACATTGCTGAGGGGTATTTCAAAGACTGGCTGGTCACCAATGTCAAAGGAAAGCAACTGCCCTGTAAGGAAAGGGCTTATCAAGCCACAGGCTCCTCCCCTGGAGTCTACATAAACAACGTTGCTACCAAACTGTAAGTTCCATGAGGACAGTGTACTGGGTCTATTTTGTTCACATTGTACCCCCAATACCAGGAGTAGTGCCTGATACACTGTAGGTGGTCAATAAATACGTGATGAACATATGAACTGATAGGAAACTAGAGACAGTAGCAGACGGAAGAGACCAAAACAAGTTAAAGGCTGAAACTCTTCATCCCATCTTCTCCCCCAAACCTTAATCTTCCCCAGAACTCACCACCGAACTTCACTGTCCCCCAGTTCCAGCCCTTCACACACAAGTCCTTCTCCATTAGTTCAAGTCGATAGTGAGTTTTGAAGAAATCAGAGAGTTTCTCAAACTCCTATAGGTGGGGGAAGAAAGCGCAATCCCAGTAAACCCTGGTGGCCTTAACACAGTCTTGAATGTACTGGGATTATCTATTTCTGAGATACTCTTTATCAGAATCCATGCTGACTGAGCATCTCAACTCTAAAACCATTTAACAGATTGTTGAAAGAGGCTGCTTCTGAGAACTGGATCTCAGGCTAGGGAAGGAGTAAAGTAAGAAAAAATGTTGCTGGTTATAGTCCTGACAGTGCTATCTGACCTTATGTACTTTGTACAGGTACTGCTCTAATGAAAGTGGAAATTAATATCCAGTAAAGTCTTTCACTCAAATGGTTCAAAATGAAAAAACAAAACCCAAACTAAAGCACCATGCTAAGAAGCTGAAGCTGGATAAAAGCAACAGGTCGAAACCACCATCTAAACCGAGAGGGTAAAAATCTTCTGGAGTCAAGGCACAAAGAAACTCACGAGACTCTGACACTCAAAGCTGAACACTGACTGCTTAAGGGCCTCAGTGGCCCTGCTCTAAAGAACCCGAACTGGCAATTACATGGTTGTTAGAGGAAAGAACCCCAACTCTTTCTAGAAGATAAAAAATAAACAAGATGGTGCACTAAAAAGGGGGCTGTGGCAACAGGAGTCTCACCGATTCTCGGAAGCCATCATACTTGTAGACATGGCCATTCTTCGTGAGCAGTTTAAGTCCATGGCCCAGAGCTACGCGGCGCCAGATGCCTTCTGTCAACTCCCCAGCCTGGATGTTGTCCACTTTGCCCGTCTTGCTATTCTTGAAGATGATGCCCTGGCGGCTCAACCTCAGCCGACCATCATTCTGTCAAAAAATCAGGCCCAGATGCATGGGTACAGTACACAGTGTGTACTGGGTACGGTTCAACCGAACACCCATTCTGGTTGTTAGTGGGCTGGGCAGATTATCAATGCAGAAGCAACAGATGAGGAGGTGAGGGCCAGTAAGAAAAGACAAGTGGCCAAGAAGTCTGGATTCTAAACCCAGCTCTGGCATCCAGAACGTTGGCAGGTCCTCAGTTTCCTCATTTGTAACATAAGGATTTGGGGACTGAACAGGATATACGGTCCCTTCAAACTCTTGGGACTCTCTCTCAGTCCTGTACTGACTTTTGTTGGGGGAAACACCAGGCACACATTATACTGAACTTTCCCTTTCCAAAGTAGTAACATCATTAAAGCAAGCTCTTGTTAATGGGCAAAAACTCTACCCTCCTTCCCTCACTCCACCTGTACTAAAAGCCCAAGCTCTTCTCACCATGGAGCCTTTCACCTCCTGATACACGTCGTTGAACTCCAGTGTCTCTGCCATCTTGACCGGCCCGTGTTGGTCTAGGCACAGAGCCCTAGGCTGCACAAGGGAAACCGAATAAACTGGGAGCTGGGCCCCAACTCCTGGGTGGCTGTACAGATGTTCAGTAGGTTGGGAATCTGAATTCAAGAAGGAGTCAGATAAGCATGAAGACAACACCTCACTCTGCTCAGGATGGAGCTAGGTAGCAACCCCTGGCTGCTCCTGAGATGTCTCACGATCTCCTCTGCCTGGGAACGCACAAGCACGCTCTGCAGTGCTCCAGGGGCCGGGCCCAGGCCCGGCTGGAGACCCGGGCCTGGCGTAGCGCTTACACCCTAACCAGACACCCGCTCTGGGAGCTCCACCAGGAGCCATGGCAACGACCAGCGGAGTCCCAGGGCCTGGCCGGAGCCCGCACCTCGCTCGGCCCGCGCCCCGACTCAGTTCAGAGCGCAGGGTTCCCCTCCAGCCCTCCCACCATGCCGCGGCCCCAGACCCACGGTTCTCCCCTCTCCCTACAATGGATTCGCCCGCTCCCCGCTGATTCGAACGCGGAACGGCCCATCTCGAAAGCCCAGCGGGGGAGCGGGACCCGTGCCCTCCTGGGGGCTGGGGACGGCGACCACACACCTCCTCAAGCTGCAACCTCGCGACGGCCCGGGCGCGGGCGGTGGGCGCGTAGGGGGACGCGGGGGACGGGGCGGGGACGCGGGAGATGGGGGAACGCCGGGGAAGCTTTTCCCGCGTGCGCGGCCCCGCGGCCCGCCACCGGAAGCCTCACACGGACCGTAGAGAAGAGAAGCTGGCTAGAGAGACGCGTGCCCGGCCCACCGAGGAGACTGTCACATAGAGCGTCGGCCACCGTGGAGGACCTGAGGGACGGACGGGTAGTGGCGGTCGAGTCCCACCCAGACGGAACCTGACTAGAAAATGGGAGTGCGCAAGGCCCTCTGGAAAGTCACAGACCCTTCTTCAGTGGAGACTCGATTCTCAAGGGAAACGGTGCAGTTTTATTTCATCGGACTTTCTACAGGGGTGTGTGTTTGTGTGCGTGTAAGGATGCGGGTCCCCCTCTCCTGCAAAATAGTTTGTGGCGTGGGAAGGAGTCTGTGAGACAAGAAGAGAAATATTTAAAGAGTTGTGGAGAGAAATAACCCCTCCCACTGGCTGCAAGACAAAGCTGGTGTTGGTGTCAATGACTGCACTGCTCTCTAGCTGTACCCTGCCAAGTGGCATTGGAGACTTTTTGAAATGGGTTCCCTGCCTACACCCAAAATCTTCACATCCATGACCGCAATTGATGGCTCCTTAGAAGAGGCTAGCAAATGGTACTATCGAGTTCGAGTGCTGGTGTCACATTCACCTTGGAGCCAGAACTGATTTGAAACCACATTATCCCGGAATTGTGAAAGCCAAGCCCCTTCATATAGTGCCAGGGTGCGTCTTGCAAATTCAGAGTCCAGACCTGAAAGAGATGTTTGAGTTTATCTGCTCCAACCTCCTTTTGCAGATGGGAAAACTGAGGCCCAAAGAGAAGTTCCCCAGGGTCTCAGTGAGTTGGCAGCAAAACTGGAGACGAACCCTGTTCTCCTTAACACCAGTCCAATTCTCTTCTGTCATGATCATAGTGACTCTGTGTTCAGAATGATTCATAAAATGTGTGCCGAATAAAGACATTAGAGCAGAAACTTTAAACTCAAGATTTTCCTGATAATCGTTACACCGGCTTGCTAACTCAATTCTGGGAAAGAGAGACAATAGAAATGCATTATTGCCCCCCTGAACTCATGGCTTTAACCTCCGGGTAGTGGCTATTCTGGTACTATGTAGCAATATAAATTTAATTGGATTTAATAAATATGTATTGAGGACCTATTATTAATCCAGTACACTTCTAGAATTTAAGGAAACTAGTGAACAAGATGAAAATAGCCCCAGACTTTCAGGAGGACATAATCTAACGAATAATTCATATAACTAAACTGACAATAAAAAAAAAAAAGTGATAACTGCTATGCTACAGGTAGAGCTTCAGCCAATGCCAACTGGAGTTGGAAATACGTAACTCTTTATTCACCCCCTCCCAGGAGACCCAGGGGGTCAAAAGACCCCCTCTCCCTGACCCACGCTATCGGAGGCAACTCAGGAAGGATTGCAGAGTTAGGCAGACACTCGGGAGTGAAGGGGGTAGTGAGCTCAGGCAGGCTATTAGGGACTGGGAATGGGGCTTTGCAAGGGGCTTTAGAGAGAGCATGAAGCAGCTGGTGAGCTGGAACGAGGATGCAGCATAAAAGAATGAAACAGAACCGGTAACAGAGTGCAGATAAAACATGAGTCCCAGAGGGCCCTAGCCAGCTGCATCCCAGGCAATCAGGAGCCCAGGATTGGAGACCCCACCCCTGCTGTGACATCACAGGGGAGTAGGGTGGAGATGAATAAAAAGGGGGGTGCTCCCTCCCTGGCCCTGGACTCTTGGCAGCCAGAGTGTCAAGAGTAGAGAGAGCCTGGGCACTGGGCTAGGGTTGCCTGGCTTAAAGGGACAGGCTACCCATCCGTGCAGCCCCTCTAAGCTGCCCCCTTCAGGCTTTGAACTCTGTCTTCCTATCCTGAAGACCTCTCTCTCCTGAGGCTGCCATTAGGCCCCTTCTGAGTGGCATCTGAGCACTCTCTCAGCATGAACTGCATATCAGACTTCTTCACCTACGAGACCACCAAGTCGGTGGTTGTGAAGAGCTGGACCATTGGGATCATCAACCGAGTAGTTCAGCTTCTGATCATCTCCTACTTTGTGGGGTGAGTCTATGGCCCTTCAGGTCCTAGGAAGGGAGGGCTGCCCCATGTCCTGTCATCCCCCTCCTCCCCTCAGTGCTACCCCCCAGCTTCCTGAGCTTCTCTTCCCTTGGGGGAAACACTGTCTTCTGTGGAGCCACATCCTAAGGACTGGCCTCTGCCACCCCCACCCGGGATCTAGCCCCCAGATGAATTTTTCCCAGTAAATCCCCCGGAGTTGGAGAGTGGTTTCTAGACACACGCTCTGAGGAGTGGGGTCCTTGCCCTGGCCCTGCCCTCTAACAGGAGAGGTCCCAGGTGATCCATCTCCACTCTCCCTTCTCCCATCCTACCCCACATTTTCCCATTCCCCTCAGTCAACTCCTCAGGGTCTCAAAAAGACAATGGAGTACAGGAAGGAGGAAGGGAGGGCACTGAAATAGGAGAGGTGGTGACAGGTCGATCAGGTTAATGGCAGGGTGGGAAGGAGAGAACTGGATCCGCTTTAGGATGAGGAATTCCCTCCTGGCATGGACAGAGGGTTCAAGAGCTTGGAAAGGGATGAAGCCCTTGCTCTTGGAGGGTAGTCCAAAGGTGGGAAATGCCGCTTGAGGTGGGAGAAACACAGGCACAAATAATACACTAGGGAAGAGTTGCTGGGGAGAAAAGTAGCTTTTCTGGACATAGTGCAGAGTCCCTCCCCAAGAATCCAGAAATGCTCCCCTTTGTCAAAAAGCAGAAATCCCCTACCTCCACCTGACCATGTCATATAACCCATGCTGGGAGTTGTCTAAGAGCCAGCAAGGTCCAAACCCCTCCTGTCAGCCCCCACCTCTTGGAGGCACACACCTATACACGTACACACACACAAAGGACCATGGAGCAGAAAATGGCTGGGGGAAAATGCAGGTTCTGTCCTTCCTGGGGTCATTTCCACACACTGATGGGCACCAGGAAATACAGGCAGACGGCTTGAGGTTTCCTTTCCTGGTGCACGGGTCTCTAGTCTCAGGTGGTTCCTTGAGACGATGGGTGTGTGTGAGAGAGCAAGCCACTGATCAACATGAGTTCATTCAAGCAAGTCAAAGGAGATGTCCTGTGTGCATGTGGGCTGGGGCTGCACAAGAGTAGGCCTGCTTGCCTGAAAGGTTGGAGCAGTGTGGGTGGGAGGTGGGTAGATGCAATCTTTAAGCGACTTTTTTGCTCCACATGCTCGTCAAGAGCCAGTATGCAGATATGGTAACAAGGCTGTATATCCAGTGCTCTTTGTGGGGATATTAGAGAAGAGACTCAAGCTTTGGGGTACGACTAAATGGCCTTAAAGTTCCCTTCCAACATTGAGGCTTTGTGAGACATAATGTTTGCAAATGTCCTATGTCTGCATCTCCAGAGCTTGGCTCAAAGTCAGTTGCTAAATGTTCCATGTTCACATGTCTATTCAATGCTGTGATTGTTGATAGCCACAAAAATAGCATGTTGGTCCAGGTGAGTGCAAAAGCTGGCTCAGCACATTCCTGGCCTAGCCTGGCTTTGTTGGCTGAAGGTGGGAAATTAATGGAAGATAGAGATAGCCAGCTCCTGTACCAGCCCACCCAGCCCCCATTGTCCTTGTCTCTCCCTCATGATCAGATCAGATCCTCTAGTCCTCGGGGCTGGAGCCCAGCCTGCTGGAGCAAACATAAGAGGCTCTTTGGCGTCTTGATATCCAGTCCCATCCATCTACCAGCCTGACAGCTCCCCACGGAACAGCGCCTTCCAGTTACATCAGCGCACGCTACAGCCCAGCCCCCTGGCCCGGGCCCCATCTCTGTGTACACGAACCCATGTGCTATTGTGACTTCGTGAATCCATTGTCATTAACTTAGCAAAAATGTGTGGAGCCATCTCTGCATGCCAGGCATTGTGCACTGAGGATAGAATGTCAGGCAAAAGCAGACAGGGTCCTCGCCTTAGTGGAGCTCACTGTATGAGTCAAGAGATGGACTTTAGTCCAATCATCTCCACATGCAATTGTAAAATTTCAGCTGTGGCTCAGAGGGGCCTGGTGCAAAGAGACCTGCTACTCTGAAGGTGTTAGACCCGGTCAGGGAACTAAGGAAGGTTTTCTGGAGCCACATTCTGAAAGACAAGTAAGAGCAACCTAGGTGAAAGAAGGGTAGGCAGAGAAACCCACCTCTGCAAAGGGAGAGAGCCTGGCAAATGGGCAGAGAAGAAGGTGGATGTGGCTGGAGGTAAGGCAGCGGAGGTGAGGCTGATGCAAGATGGATGGGAACACAGGCAGAGGCCAGACCTCAGACATCCTCAGCAAGCTTTCGATTTCACAGGAGAGGAATGAACGGGAAGCGACTGAAACATTTTAACCTGTGTGTGTGTGTGTGTGTGATTCTGAGACTAAGAGACAGACATGATGAGATCTAAGTCAGGAAGATCACCCTGGCTGATAAGCCAAGGGATTGGAGGGAGTAGGATCAGATGCAGGAAAACCTGTTATGAGGCATATGATCACACAGAGAGAGAGATGACTGTGGCTTGGACTCAGTCGCATTTAAAAGGATTTTTAATGCTGTGGTGTTAACATTTAACTAACACCTGAATCTCTGCCCTATTATCCCAGCCAGGTAGACAGGATTCACAGCCTTATCCAGAACATGTGTATGGGGGGCGGTCATTTCTTATGCACTCACAGCCAGACACCCCTAATCTCTGCTCAGGCTTGTCCGTAGTTGGCACCACTCCAACACCGATTTCCTTTACCCACCCCAGGTGCACAGAGAGGCCAGGATTTACCTGATTTTCTCACATCTTTTCTGGGCCAGGTGGTAATCCCCAGTCTTCTCTATGGGGTGGGACTTCCTAAGAGCCAATCCCCTTTCTGGACCCTATGGAGACCTGGGGAGGAAGTAGAAGGAAATCTCTGGGGCCTGAATCCCTGCAAGCAAGCACTGGCTGGTGCTTGGCCTGAGGTGGACTTCTGGAGCCTTCCTGAGGAAGCTGTCTCCCTGCAAACGAGCAAGGAGTGTTTTTCGCAGCCCTTCAATGCCCCATTTCTCAGAAGGGCTGCTGGTGGTTGAGGTGCGTCTGAGCCAGTCACAGGCTGGCTCCCTTGCCCACTTCCTCCCCCATGCAAAGCCCAATCCACAAACTCACCACCTGCCCAGATGCCCCCTCTGGTTTATCACACTCAGCCTCATTTCAAACCTTATGCAGAAGTTCAATACATAAAACAGTTAGAAGGGAGGAGCTGCTCTGGTTTGAAGAGAAGTGCCTGGAACGCCAACTTCTTGGCCCCTCACCACATCCTATCAGCCCAGGGTAGCACCCTGATACACCATGTCAGCACTCTAGGTGACAAAGATGGTGGGATGACCTTTTGGGATCCCCCAGGTCCAGAGAGATGAGTGACTGTCACTTCTGCCTGCCTCTCCCCTCCCCAGCCCATGATGGGAGCTGTGGGATGTGGAGAACCTGGTTAGAAGCCTGGCCCTGACACCAGCTAGGAGTGGGGCCTTGGATGAGTGACTTTACATCTCTAAGTCTCCCTCCCTGTATTTGGAAGATGGGTTAAGGAATACCTCCTCCCAGGGAGCTATGGGGAGGGGGTAACGTATGTCAACTGCCTTGCCCAGGATGGTGACTCAGTAAGAGAAAGTAACTAGTATTTTTTCATAGACTCCCCATCATGCCTCCCCTTCCCTCTGCCTGCCTCACACCTTCCTAAGAGACCCCTCTCCTGTGACACACACGCCACACGCTCTTCACACCCACCCCCTGGCCTCCTCCTTGACTCCCTGGGGGTAGATGGGAGGGTGCTGGGACACTACTCTGGACTCCTTCCTGCACATTCCACCTGCCAAGGAGCTGCCACCCGCCTTCCGCTCTATAAATAATAAACTAGGAGTGCAAGAAAAAAAAATAAATCAGAGCAGCAGAGTTAATGCCAAGAACTGAAGGCTCGGTCCTGCCCCATCTCCTAAGCTCTGGCCTCTAGAGACAGACTCAACCCTCTGTTCTGGAAATGAAGCATCCCCTTATTTCAAGCTGCTCTGATGACGTCTTCAGCCCCGTGGGGCCACTGAAATTCTTCTGCTTGTTATTTAACTCAGAGAGAGAATTCTAACGTGGCCTCTCCTCCCTGCCAGGCACAAGAAAGAGGCTTGAAGGAGGAAGAGAAGGAGGGAGATGGGTTAATTGTTCCTCCGAGTCCTGGGACCCTCGTCTAGAGACTTTCCTAAGCTAGGAAATGCTGTCCCTGGTGATGGAGCAGGGACCAGCAGGGCAAGCACCAAGGCCCAGTCCAGGGTCATCCAGGTATGCCCTGGCCCTGAGCTGGGACACAGCTGGAGACCCTATCGTGAGGTGGTCATGGGTGGTCTGGGGCAGACTACCTGATTTGGACCCCACGTACCAGTTGTGTGACTTTGGGCAGGTTAGCACACAGTTTTGCTTTCCTCGTTTTCTCATTTGAGCCTCAGTTTCCTTGTTCATGACATGAAGGAAATAACAAAGCTGTCTCATGGGTAAGGACTCTTTGAAAATTCAACTTAGCACGCTATGTTGTTTAGATGATAATAATAATCTGAACTCTGTTCTCATCCACAAAAGTTCTTGGATTTTAAGAACAGGAGGAGGGGGCCTCAGAAGACCATTTTCTTAGATCAGCACTGAGAGATGTGTCTGTTCTGTGGCCAGGCACACTGGGGCTCCAGAAGGGTGTGTTTAGATGGTGGCTTACATTCTGGTGCATGGACAGCTGTGGCAATGGCCATCTTAGCTGGGAGCAGAGAGCCTGGGCCCGTGACCTCGCTGCCTTCACTCTGGATGGCCCCAGGCCATGAGCCACCGGTGCTTATTTGGATAACTTCACCATTTCCTGTAACAGCAATACTCCTTTCGCTTCTGCTAGGACATAACATGGCAGATAAGATTCCTATGCAAGGCATACTTCCTTGTGAAATCTTAATGAAACCCCTCCCCTCCCAGAAAAAGAAGAAAAGTGCTAGTGGGTAAAGCAAACAGCACCACAGACTTTGCATAGGGGCATGGTGTTCCTAAGAGCGCTCTACAAGCATGCGGAGAACTCTTCATGGTGCTAATCAGGATGTAACCTGCTATAAGGCAGCAAGAATAAAACAAATAACAGATGTGGAGTCATTTGCCAGTGCTGTCTGTGACTCCACCCTTCCTCTCCCACTCAGGAAAGTTCAGAATTCAAGTGAGTGACACCGTAAAAAAATGATAAATATGTGAGGTGCTGGATATGTTCATTAGCTTGACATAAGCATTCCACAATGTATGCATATATTAAAACATTCACATTGTATCCCATAAACATACACAATTATTACTTGTCAGTTAAAAATAAAAATTTTTTTTAAAAAATTCAAGTGAGTGAGAGAAGCTCCACTTTGGAGATAATTCCAAACCCTCTCACTGAAAGCTGAACAAGGAGCCACTTGTAAACATAAGCCTGTGCTTGCAGTGAACATGACTGTGGTTCCCAACTTACAAGTGACTGTGACTCCTGGCATGTTCTGGGAGCTGCTCTTTTTTGTATCTTCTAACAGTGGGGCACCCCAGAGGACATCCCATCAGAAGTCAACAAGGAGCCACTTGTAAACATAAGCCTGTGCTTGCAGTGAACATGACTGTGGTTCCCAACCTACAAGTGACTGTGACTCCTGGCATGTTCTGGGAGCTGCTCTTTTTTGTATCTTCTAACAGTGGGGCACCCCAGAGGACATCCCATCAGAAGTGCCCCCAAGGAAGGAGTCTCCCCTCAGCAAACCTGGAAGGCGAGCATCAGGCTGTCCTGAGTCTTGCCAGGTGTGTGGCGCTCACCACCTCCCACAGCAGCAGCTCGTTCACAGACCACTTTCTGGTGGTTAGAAAGCTCCTGGGCTCAAAGTCCTCACCCACCTCCTTATTATATACTGCTCGATCAGCCCACATACTGCCTCTGCAGCTTCCCAGCCTGGGACTCCCACACCTTTGTCTTCTCTGGGCTACACGGTCTCAAGTCCTTCCACTCACTTTCATCTGATGTGGTTTTCCAACCTTGGCCCACCCTGGTTAGATGCATAACATAACCGTAACCCAGCATTTTCCACAAGTGCACTGCCTGATTCCTTGATATGTCACCAGTATTTCTCCAAACTGGCTTCCATGATCAAATAAGATTGGGAGACAGTGAGGTTAACAATATGTAACAGATGTATTTGTGTGTTTGTTTATATTGCATATTTCTCTCCCGTGGAGAGGTGCGTATGCTCGGCATTTTCCAAACATATTTGATGAGGTTTTCTCATCTATAGAATGGGGACAGTAACAGCTTCTACCTCCCAGTGTGCCACCAGGAGCAAATGGAAGGCTGGAAGGGTGGTATTATGTGAGGCCGAGAGTAGTGGCTTGAGCCTTGAGGGTTTCGAATGGAAAGGCAGCCACCTTATATGAATGCAGAAGAAAGAGTTGTCAGCAGGTGTCTGCAGGCCTTTCTTGCTGCTGGAGAAGACTGTGACAGTCTGCAGAGGCAGGTAGGGATGGACGAAGGGAAGGGGGAACTGCCTCACCCACGTGGTCCCATAATGGCTTAAAACTGCAGTGAAAGACTAGTACAGAGAAATGAACACTGGGTGGCAGCACAATGCAAGGAATAAGATGAGAAGCTTCTCTCCCCACCCCACGCCCCTGCCAACCTAATTCCAATTACCTGCCAGGTACAGGCTCAGGTAATGCCCCTCCCTTTCTCCTCTGTCCTTTTTATCTGACACTTGGACAGATGGAGACTGCCAAGCACTCAGCTCCCAAGGGCCTTCATTGATTTGTTTACTGAACATCTACTGTGTGCCAGGCACTTGGGATACAGTCATGAGCAAAGACCGGGATGCACAAGACCAGAGGCCTGGGATCCTCTGCCCCTTCTCTCTCCTGGGTGCCTGCCAGAGAGGTGGCCTCCATCATCAGCAGGGAATGACTTTAAGCCATGCATTCTCAACAGGGCAATGTGGCCTCCAAGGGGATGAAAAGTGGTTATTGGGGGTGGAGGGGTTAAAAAACCGCCTGCCAGAGAGGTGGCCTCCATCATCAGCAGGGAATGACTTTAAGCCATGCATTCTCAACGGGGCAATGTGGCCTCCAAGGGGATGAAAAGTGGTTATTGGGGGTGGAGGGGTTAAAAAACCCACTCTTTTTAAGCACAAAGCACAAATAGGATCCTTGAGAGGGGATGGGGATAAAGGGGAAAAGGGTGGAAAGAGTACTTCACCCTCTCGCACGGGCCTTCCCGCTGCCAGGCACACCAGTGCCTTCCCAATGTTGGCAGGAGGGAGACTTCTCACAGCCTCTGTCTGCTGGGCCTATGGACTCTCTCTCCATTCCTGCTCTCCTGCCCCAGGTGGGTTTTCTTGCACGAGAAGGCATACCAGGTGCGGGACACGGCCATTGAGTCCTCGGTGGTCACCAAGGTCAAGGGCTTTGGACGCTATGCCAACAAAGTCATGGACGTGTCTGATTACGTGACGCCACCTCAGGTATTGTGTCCCCCTACCCCAGGATGGTGTGTGGGTGCCCAGACCTGGGCGAGTCGGAGGGGAGGGCGCAGGGCAAGGAGCATGGTTATGGAATTCCCAAACCAGAATCTGTGCTATCAATGATCCAGAGACCCTTTGCCCCAGCAGCTGACGGATGTGGGGGGAACTTGGGCCTCGTCCCCCGAGTGCGGTGCTGGCCACCAGGAAAGCTAGTTCTCCAGGCTCTGCCACATCTTGCACTGCTACCAAGGGCAACACACAAAGGGAGCGAGAGAGTTGGGAAGAGCCGGGTTGGGATCCCAGCCCTGCCCTTTCTTTATTCACGCTGCAACCTTGGCCAAATCACTTAGCCTGAGCCTCCTCGGAACCTCAGTGTCGGTCTGCAGAACCTCACAGATTGGGACGGTTGCACTTTTTTCTCTCTCTCCTCGTCCTCTCAAGGGCACCTCTGTCTTCGTCATCATCACCAAGATGATCGTTACTGAAAACCAGATGCAAGGATCCTGTCCAGAGGTGAAAGGAGGGAGGGAGGCTGGATGGAGCAGGAGCAGGGTCGGGGCAGGGCAGGCATGGGTGAGAACAGACGCCCAAACTCTGGCCTTGGAGCTGTGACCCGTCTCCTCCGCTCTCCAGAGCCTGCGGGCTGTGGGAGGCAGGGGTCCCCGGGCCAGCTCAGGGTCCTTCACCCCCCTGTGGACTTGTCTCCCCGCAGAACGAGGAGAAGTACCGCTGTGTATCCGACAGCGAGTGTGGGCCCGAGCGCCTCCCTGGTGGGGGTGAGTTTCAGCCCCTTCCCCACCCCTCACAGCCCAGAGTGTTAGCACAACCCTGGAGGGAAGCAAATCTCTCAGGACAAGAGCCCACCCTAGGAGAGAGGGCAGAGGGAGCAGGGATCGGCCCACCCCGTGGACCTCTGCTGGCGTTTCTAGATGCGCACTGGGTGCCGGACCCAGTGGGGCTGTGAAAGTGCCCGGCCCCTGCCCTCAGAGGAGCTCCCAGTCTAGGGAGGGTGGTGACAGACAGAGGTGCACAGTGGCAAATGCCAATGAGGAGAAACCAAGGACTGTGGGGGCCCAGGGGAAGGAGAGAGATGGGTTCTGGGCGGGTGGCCCCAAAAGGCTACCTTGAGGTGGTGACATTTGGGACAGGCCCTAAAGATCAAGATTTGGCAGGAGAGACAGGGCTGCCAAAGGGGCATTCCAGGTGGAAGGAAGAGCTGCAGCAGAGGCTCGGAGGCAAGGAAGGAAGAGCATGGAAAATGAGGGCTTCTCCGAATGGCTGGGCTTGGAGCATGTGATGGGAGGGCTGTCACCTCCCTTTGGCTTGGTCTGGGGCTCAGGAAGAGAGGAGGGAGAAAGCGCTACAGGACAAATGTGCCGCAGGTCCACAGGTTGGCTCCCTTTGCTCTGCCTGCCCCTTCCCTCCACCTGCCAGGTCCCTGGGGGTGTGGGTGTGGGTTCTCCAAGAGGAGGAGGGGGGAGGGGAAGGGCAAAGGGCAGGGGCTACCCAGCATTGTGGCTCCATCCTCCCAGGGATCCTCACTGGCCGCTGCGTGAACTACAGCTCTGTGCTCCGAACCTGCGAGATCCAGGGCTGGTGCCCCACCGAGGTGGACACGGTGGAAATGTAAGGACCTGAGCCTGACAGGAGGAGAGAGGACCCCACCCCAGTTCCCCCTTGCCAGTGTGGGAGCTCTGCATCTCTGAGTTTGGGGAGGGTCTCAGGGCTCCTCCCAGCAGTGTCCCTTCCTGGAGTGGGGAAGTGGCCTCAGGATATCAGCTTTCCCGGCCCATCTCACCTGACCCCTCCCCTCCCTCTGACCCTCAGACCAAGAAGGGCCTCCCCATGCCAGCTCTCAGAGGGCCCGTCATCTACAAGAGGTCTCCCTTTGGGAGATGTCCACCAGGAAAGGTGGCCCCTGGGTGAAGACCTGTTTCCCCCTCTTCTTCCTGAGAAGCTAAGGCAACCTGTTCTCACCCACAGGCCAGTCATGATGGAGGCTGAGAACTTCACCATTTTCATCAAGAACAGCATCCGCTTCCCCCTGTTCAACTTTGAGAAGTGAGTCCCTGCTTCCTCCCTAAAACCAAGATGCAGTGTCCCCACCGCACCCCGCCACCTCGTTCTCAGGAGACTGGAGGTGCCCCATTTCCATGGTTCTCCCCACTTTCTCTCCATCCACCCATCTCCCTGGGGCTCCTATTTGCAGCCTCCCAGTGGGCCTTGACCTCTGAATATCAGGTGAACTTCGGGGCCAATTTCTCTGCCATCTTCCTACCTCTGGAGCTCAGAGCCCAAATGAGAGTTTTGCTTGGGGCAGGAGAGGGACAACTTAAACCCGGCCCTAGGACGCAGATGCCTCCAAAGGTTGGAGCCAGAGGGGCTCATCCTTTTCTCTTTCCCCACATCAAGCCATGCGTGATGCCCCTTTTCTCTTGGTCAGTTCAACCCCCCTTCATTGACTCATTCATTCACAGCTACTTGGTGGGCCTGGGCCATGTGCAAAGCTCGACGCCAGGCATTATGGAGGTGCACAGCTGAACAGGAGTGCCCCTGATTAGACAGGGACACACGTAACCCTAGCACAATACAGGGTGATGGGGGTTCCAGGGAAGATGCAGAGAAAGATGGGAGAGACATGGAGGTTCCAGAGATCAGGGCTCAGACCCCCCTGCCCGGGCGAGGAGGACCCCACGGCTCTGGGAGGCTGGAGGGAAGTTTGTGGGTGACCATCTTCACCTTAACCTGAGCCTTGCGTCTCTCTTCTCCTCCTCCCCAGGGGAAACCTCCTTCCCAACCTGACGGCCAGGGACATGAAGACATGTCGTTTCCATCCTGATAAGGCCCCCTTCTGCCCCATCTTGCGGGTGGGTGACGTGGTCAAGTTTGCGGGACAGGATTTTGCCAAACTGGCCAGAACGGTGAGGACCTAGCCCTTCTTCCATGACCCCGAACCCAGACCTCAGGGCCCTTGGGCAGGTGGTTGGGACACTGGGAAGAAGGAACTGCCGGGACACGGCGCCACCTGGCGGAAGCATCCCAGGCCTGCAACTGGCCGTGTGCCTGAATCTCCTCTGTCCACCTCCGTCCTGGATGGTCTTGCCTCTCCCCCATACGTTTCCTCCAAGCCTCAGTTTCCCATTCCTGACTTCACACTTGACCTCTGGGAGAGGCCTTAGATCTCTGGAAAGGGCCACACAATAGGAAAGTGGATCCGTGGCCACTTTCTCTCTCCTGTGTTGTAGCTAAGGGACCCGAAGTTTCCAAAAGTAGGGTTTAGAGGCTCAGAGGTTTTCATTCTACCTATAGAACTTCTTGACTGAGCAAGGTGTGACAAGTCACCTCTTTCCCCCTGCCTTTGTCTTCCACCCAAAGAATACACAAAAACAAAAAACCTTTTGTTACAAACCCCTCCGCCCCCCACCCCCCACCCCCCGGCTGAGTACAGGGGTTGGACAGCTGTGGGAGAGCTCACACCTGGCCCCTCTCCTCAGGGCGGAGTTCTGGGCATTAAGATCGGCTGGGTGTGCGACTTGGACAAGGCCTGGGACCAGTGCATCCCGAAATACTCCTTCACTCGGCTCGATAGCGTTTCCGAGAAGAGCAGTGTCTCCCCAGGCTACAACTTCAGGTAATCCCCCAGTCTCCTGCGACATCAGGAGAAGGCAAAGACTGTTCTAAAGAACCTCAGTTTCGTTTGTTTGGGAAGAAAAGATCCCACACCTGCCCCCACCCCCTCCCACCCCCATCAGATTTCAGCTCAAAATCAGAAAGGACTCTCTTTTTGGTTTGGGGGGTTTTTTTCTTTTTAAGTGATAGACTTTTTATAGCACTTTTAGTTCTATAGAAAAGTTGAGCAAAAAATACAGGCAGTTCACATATCCCCCGCCCCCCGCCACACACACACAGACACATACACAGTTTCTCCTGTTATTAACATCTTACATTAATCGGATACATCTGTTACAATTATGAACCAATATTGATATATTATTATTAACTAAGTTTTACATTTGGGTTTCCTCTTTATGTTGTACTGTTCTGTGGATTTTGCACAATGCGTAATGTCATGTATTCACCAATATAGCATCATAGAAAAGTTTCACTGCCTTAAGTATCCTCTGTGTTCCACCTATTCATCCCTCCCCTGAAACCCTGGCAACGACAGATCTTTTTTTTTATTATTATTACCTCAAACATTTATCATTTTTTTGTGTTGGAAGCATTCAAAATCCTCTCTTCTAGCTAATTGAAAGTACACAAAAAATTGATTATAGTTACTCCACAGTGCAATCGAACACTAAATCTTATTTTTCCTTTTTTTTTTTTTTTTTCTTGACCATGAAGGGGATCGTAACCCTTGGCTTGGTGTCGTCCACACCAGCCATCCCTATATAGGATCCGAACCCGCGGTGGGAGCGCTGCTGCGCTCCCAGCGCCGCACTCCCCCGAGTGAGCCATGGGGTCGGCCCTTATTTCTCCTTTCTAGCTATAATTTTGTATTTCTTAACCAAGCTCTCCCTATCCCCTCTCCGTCCCACCCTTCTCAGCTCTGGGAACCACCATTCTACTCTCCACTTCTATGCGATCAAACTTCTTAGCTTCCACATATGAGTAAGAACTTGTGGTATTCCTCTTTCTGTTCCTGGTTTACCTCATTTAACATAATGTCCTCCAAGTTCGACCATGTTGCCTTGAATGACAGGACTTTATTCTTTTTTATAGCTGAATAGTATTCCATTGTGTATTATGCCACATTTTCTTTATCCAGTCATAGTTGATGGACACAGAGAAACTTCCACACTGTTTTCCATAATGGCTTTACTAATTTACATTCCCACCAACAGTGTATAAGAATTCCCCTTTCTTCACATCCTCGTCAGCATTTGTTATTTTCGTTTTGGTAAATATACACTTTGGTAAAAAATACACTTTGGCATTTTAACCAGAGTGAGATGGTATCCCTTTGTGGTTTTGATTTGCATTTGCCTGACAGTTAATGATGCTGAGCACTTTTTTCATATACCTGTTGGCCATTCGTATGTCTTCTTTTGAGAAAGGTCTATTCAGCTCATGTGCCCACTTTTTAATTGGATTTCATTTGTTCATTTATTTGTTTGTTTGTTTGTTTGTTTGTTTGTTTATTGCTGTTGAGTTGTTTAAGTTTCCTATATATTCTGGATATTAATCCCTTGTCAGATGCACAGTGTGCAAATATTTTTTCCCATTCTGCAGGTTGCCTCTTTACTCTGTTGACTGGTGTTTGTTTTGTTTTGTTTTTGCCTGTTTGCCTGGTTTGTTCATTTGTCTATGTTGGCTTTTGTTGCCCACGCTTTTGAAGTCTTATTCACGAAACCTTTGCCAAGACCAATGTCATGAACTGTTTCCGCTATGTCTTCTTTTAGTAGTTCTATAGTTTGGGGTCTTATAGTTATGTCTTTCATCCATTGTGAGTTGATTTTTGTATATGGTGAGAGATAGGGGTCTAGTTTACTTCTTCTGCATATGGATATCTAGTTGTCCCAGCACCGTTTATTGACGAGTCTGTTCTTTCCCCAATATATGTTCTTGGTGCCTTTGTTGACAATCAGATTGCTGTAAATATGTAGATATATTTCTGGTTCCTCTATTCTGTTCCATTGGTCTATGTATTTGGTTTTATAGTAGCATCACGCTGTTTTGGTTCTATAACTTTGTAGTATATTTTGAAGTCAGGTAGTGTGATGCCTCTAGCTTTGTTTTGCTCATGATTGCTTTGGCTATTCAGGGTCTTTTGTGGCTCCATATGAATTTTAGGGTTGTTTTTTCTATTTATGTAAAGAATGCCATTGGTATTTTGATAGGGATTGCACTGAATCTGTAATTGCTTTGGGTAGTATGGACATTTTGACAATACTAATTCTTCCACTCCATGAAAGTGGCATGCCTTTCAATTTTTGTGTGTCCTTTTAATTTTTTTCTTCAGGGTTCTGTAGTTTTCATTGTAGAGATCTTTCACTTCCTTGGTTAAATTTATTCCTAGGTATTTTAGATATTTTGTAGCCATTGTAAATGGGATCACTTTCTTGAATTTTTTCAGCTTGCTTCTTCATTGGTTTATAGAAGTGCTACTGATTTTCATATGCTGATTTTTTATCTGCAACTTTATTAAACTTATCAGTTCTAAGAGATTTTTGGTGGTGCTTTTAGGGTTTTCTATATATAAGACAATGTCATCTGCAAACAGGGACAGTTTGACTTTCTCTTTTCCAATTTATATGCCCTTTATTTCTTTATCTTGCCTAATTGCTCTGGTTAGAATTTCCAGTACTATGTTGAATAAGACTGAAGAGAGTGGGCATCCTTGTTTTGTTCCAGTTCTTAGAGAAAAAGCTATCAGCTTTTCTCTGTTTAGTATGATATTAGCTGTGCATTTGTCATACATAGCCTTTATTGTGTTGAGGTACATTCCTTCTATGCCTAATTTGTTTGGGATTTTTATTATGAAGCGATGTTGATTTTTATCAAATGCATCTTCTGCATCAATTACAATGGTCATATGGGTTTTACCCTTTATTCTATTGATGAGATGTGTTTATTGATTTGCATATGTTGAATCATCATCCCTGCATACCTGAGATAAATCCCACTTGATCATGATGGATGATCTTTTTAATGTGCTGCTGGATTCAGTTTGCTAGTATTTTGTTAAGAATTTTTGCATCTAAGGTCATCAGGGATATTAGCCTCTAGTTTTCTTTTTTGTTGTGTCCTGTCTGGTTTTGGTATCAGGCTAATGCTGACCTCATAGAATGAGTTTGGAAGAATTCCCTCCTGTTCAATTTTCTGGAAGAATTTGAAAAAAATAGCTATTAATTCTTCCTTAAATATTTGGTAGATTTCATCAGGTATCTGGGCTTTTCTTACTTTTTGTTTGTTTGTTTTGTTTTGTTTTGTTTTTTTGTTTTTGTTTGTTTGTTTGTTTGTTTGTTTTTGCAGCTGGCCAGTATGGGGATCCGAACCCATGACTGTTTGTTTGTTTTGTTTTGTTTTGTTTTTTTGTTTTTGTTTGTTTGTTTGTTTGTTTGTTTGTTTGTTTTTGCAGCTGGCCAGTATGGGGATCCGAACCCATGATCTTGGTTTTATAAGGCTGCACCATAAACTGAGCTAAGTGGCCAGCCCTGGGCTTTTCTTTAACGTGAAACTTGTTATTATTGATTCAATCTTGTATTCATAATTGGGCTGTTCAGGTTTTCTATTTCTTCTTGGTTCAATCTTGACAGATTGGATTTGTCCAGGAATTTATCCTTTTCCTCTAGGTTTTCCAATTTGTTGGCATACAGTTATTCATAATAATCTCTAATGATCATTGTATTTCTGTGGTATCATTTGTAATGTTTCCTTTTTCTTTTCTGATATTATTTGAGTCCTCTCTCTCTCCCTCTCCCTCTCTTTTTTATGGTTAGTCTAGCTAATGGTTCGTCAGTTTTGTTTATCTTTTTAAAAGGCAAAATTTCATTCTGTTGGTCTCAAAAGATTCAAAAGATCTCAAAGTAGGTTTTTTTAGTCTCAATTTTATTTATTTATGTTCTGATCTTTATTATTTCTTTCCTTCTATTAACTTGGGGGTTGGCTTGTTCTTTCTTTTCCAGTTCCTTGATATTCATCATTAGGTTGTTTATGTGAAATCTTTCTACTTTTTCGATGTAGGCATTTACTGCTATAAAATTCCATCTTAGTACTACTTTGGCTGTGTATAAGTCCATTTCTCTCACTTGTAACTGAATACCTGAAACTGGGTAATATATAAAGAAATGAAATTTCTTTCAGTTTCAGACTCGGAAGTTCAAAGTCCAAGGAACACATCTGGCGAGGGCCTTCTTCTGGGAGGGAACTCTTTACAGGGTCCCGTGGCAACCAGGATATCACATGGCAAGAATGGACTGAGCAACAGAAAGAGCTAACCTTCTCACTTGCTCTCCTTTTAAAGCCACCAGATCCACACCCATTCCTCCATAAATGGATCAATCCACTCACTGGGGCATGGTCCTCAGATCCAATCACCTCTCCAAGGCCCCACCTTTCAAATACCATAATTGGATTTCCCACCCTCCTCACACTGTTACAATGGAGATCAAGTTTCCAACATATGAACTTTTGGGGGACACATTTAGCCTACAGCAGGGTATCCCATAGGTTTTGGTATGTTGCATTTCTGTTTTCATTTGTTTCAAGAAATTCTTTAATTTTCTTAATTTCTTCATTGACCCATTGGTCATTCAGAAGCATGTTGGTTTTGGACTGTTTATTTGTTTGTGTCTTTTGTTTACTAAGTCCAACTGAACAGAAGAAGCATGTTATTTAATCTCCATGTATTTATACCATTTTGAAAGTCCCTCTCAGTATTGATTTTTAGTTTTATTCCATTGTGGTCACAGAAGATATTTGATGTCATTTCAGTTTTGTTTTGTTTTTTAATTTGTTGAGGCTTGTTTTGTGGCCTAACATGTGACCAATCCTGGAGAATGTTCCATGTGCTGATGAGAAGAATGTATATTCTGCAGCTGTTGGATAAAAGGTACTATAAATGTCTCTTAGGCCCATCTTGTTTATACTGCATTTAATTCCAGTGTTTCTTTGCTGATTTTCTGT